TCGCCGGGTCATCGCGGCCTCCTCCTGCCCGGTCCGTCGCCCCCGCCTCCATTTCCCGCCCTCTCTTCACCACACACACGGCCCCCCCGATCATGGATCCGGGCAGTGGCGGTGGTGGCGGCGGCGGCGGCGGGAGCAGCAGCGGCAGCAGCAGCAGCGACTCGGCGCCCGACTGCTGGGACCAGGCGGACATGGAAGCCCCCGGGCCGGGCCCGTGTGGCGGCGGCGGCGGCCCCTTGGCGGCGGCAGCGACGGCGGCGACCGAGGCCCAGCGTGAGCACCTCAGTGCGGCCTTCAGCCGGCAACTCAACGTCAACGCCAAGCCCTTCGTGCCCAACGTCCACGCCGCCGAGTTCGTGCCGTCCTTCCTGCGGGGCCCGGCCCAGCAGCCGCCGCCCCCAGCTGGCGCCGCCACCCCCAACCACGGAGCCGGCAGCGGCGCGGGAGGCCCTCCGGGTAAAGGGCCGGGATGCGCGGGGCGGCCTCGGGGCGCGGGAGGAAGCCGGGCTAGGCGAGGGCGGGAGCAGCCGGCCTGGGCCCGGAGCCCAGTGGGGCTGGGGGTGGGCTGGGGTCCGGTGGGCTCGGGCGGCGCGCCGCGCGGGGCCGGGTGGCACGTGGAGCGCTGACAGCGGCGCCGGGCGCGGGTAGCCCTGGGTGGGGCGGCCCGGGGCCGGGGAGGCGGCCTGCGCGGGGCGGCGGCGGCGGCGGCGGCGAAGGGCCGGGCGGGGCGGGGGCGGGGGCGGCGTGCGGGATACACCCGCGGGGCCTGGAGGCCGCCCCCTCCCCGGGGGGGGGGGGCCGCAGCCACCCCCTGGCAGTGGGGACCGTATGGGACGGAGAGGGGGCCGCGGCAGGTCAGTGCCACGAGGCCTAGAAGTGAGGACAGATGGAGCCACGAGTGGGTCGGGTGGGCGTTGAGAGATCCGAGGAGTTGGCGAGGACGAGTGCTCGAGTTTTCCCTTCACCTTCGGCCGAGCCGAGAGAGTCTCTTGCTGCAATTTCTATTATTGAGACTGTAATCGCGTTTTAAATGTCTGTGACACGGAACCGTCCTGAAAGAATCCCAAGATGCATTGCAGCCTTGTGATACGGCCGAAACTGTTGACTATCGATACAAAGATCTCGTTCACCCTTAGCATTTGTAAGCTTGTAAAGTTCACAAAGTGTCAGGAAGTTTATAAGAGTTCCTCACTTAAACGTTAATGTGTTAGGAAACTACATTGATCTGTGTGCCCTTTTCCTTAAGTGGGACTGGGCTTTTCTTCTTAGTGACACGTTTGGAATTTTCATTGCGTTAAAATCGTTTACCTTACTCAGGTTGCTTGGAATAACTCGCTCTGTCTCTGTTACTGTGTCAGCAGTGAGTCTGTTCACACACTTGAGCATTTGTTAGGACTTAGTAGTTGTCACGTGCCATTCTCATCAGCGCTGGTAGGCCTTCTTTCTGTGGTTTCAAGTCAAGTTCGGTCTTTAAAAATCTTGCCGTGTTCTGCTTCATTGTGTTAGCATGCTTTCGGGAACTGATTTATAGGAATGTCAAATCAGAGAACTTTATACCTCCCAGATACAGGTGCTTATGTTAGGAACTGTCCGTATTGATTAAAGAGAAAAAGGAGAAGGTGGAATGTCCTTCCCATTATCTAACCAGGGTATTGGGGACTGGGTCATAGATGTTCCCAACAATTTGTGTGTGAGAATGGGTTGTTGATTTCTCTTTAAAGTTCTAAATTGTGGTATTTCTTAGATAAGTGGACATCATAAAAGTGCTCTGGGAGGTTAGTTTCTTAAGAAATTTTTGCTATAGTTTTCTCTCTAGAGGCAAAAAGAGTTTGAAGAAATACTTTTGCAAAGTGTATATGTGAATACACAGTTTGGATTTGATTGTTTTATTGACTAGTATTTTATTTGTATAGGCACTTGTTATTTCCTTTTGAATAGGAAATTCAGTTATTTATTTATTTATTTTTTGCTTAGATCCAGCCATTTTGGCTGCTGGAACTAGTTCATTACCAGCTTCTAAAAGTGTCTGTTTCCCCATACTTTATCATGGGTAGATTCCTTTTATCCAGCCATTTTCTTTTTGCCCCCCCCCCTTCCTTTGGAGGCTCCAGCACCACTTGGGCTACACCTAGAACTCCGTTTGCAGGGGATGTAGCCATCAGCCATCAAAGGACAGTCGTCCTTAGCGCAATAGTCAGGAATAATGGTTATTGTTGAGTGGTTAGGCAGTACCTCTTAGGTGGGGGGGATTGCTTTTCTCTTCCTGGTATCTGCCAATTTCGGCTTTATCTTAACCCTTTTCTCTGTGACACTGCTAGAAGTGGGAGATGTAAAAGTGTGTGGGGAAGTGGTTGTTGGTAAGAAAATTCCCTACATTGTGGTCAGGTTTTTCTTTTTTTATTGGAAACCTATATTGGTGTTACTGATTTTATCAGATGCTTCTACAAAATGCCTGTTAATTTTAAAAAATAATCCTCTGTAGGATGTTTATTTAGAAAAGAATAGGGTGCCTGAGTGGCTTAGTCAGTTAAGGTCTGCCTTCGGTTTGGGTCATGATCCCAGAGTCCTGGGATCGAGCCCCGCCCCCCTAATTGGGCTCCCTGCTCAGCCGGGAGTCTGCTTCTCCCTCCCGCTCCCCCTGCTTGTGCTCTCTCTCTCTGTCAAATAAATAAAATCTTAAAAAATAGAATAGATTTTTAAATTGAGGTCCAGAGTTATGTTGGATTGCATGTTCCAGCCCATTCAGGTCCGTAAAATACCACCGTTAGAGCAGGGAAGTGTGCTTGGAAGAAGCAGGGAAAAAGTTGGAAGTAGCACTTAGATTGAAATTCACAAAGTGGGGGGGAACCATAAGATTTGCAAGTTTTTTTTATAGTGAGGAAATAGTAGGGCAAGCATGTTTTCTTTTGTTGTTAAGCCATAGCTGAAATTTGTGGTGGGTGTGTTTTGAAATATCAGGAGAGCTCTTGAAGGAGTCTGTCTAGACTAGAGCACCAGAGTGAATGACTTGTAAAATGTGTCTATCTAGAATGAATATCTGTCATTTCTCCTGAAAATTCTCTCCTTTCCCTCCCTCCCTTCCTTCCTTTTTCCCTCCCTCCATTGCTTCCTTCCTTCCTTCCTTCTTTTTTTTTTTTGGAAATAGTTTAAGTGGGCCTTGAGCAAGAGGAGGAAGATGCTTTTGCCCAAAGTATCAGTCACCTTACTGGAGGGCTGCTAGTTATGCCTGTTTCTAGCTGTCCCACGTCAGAACTTGGGATTCAGTGTTGACCTTGAATCCTTTTGAAAATTTAATACAGGGGCACCTGGGTGGCTCAGTCCTTGAGAGACTGCCCTCGGCTCAGGTCGTGATCCCAGGGTCCTGGGATTGAGCCCCGCATCGGGCTCCCTGCTTCGCGGGAGGCCTGTTTCTCCCTCTCTCACTCCCCCTGCTTGTGTTCCCTCTCTCGCTGTGTCTCTCTCTGTCAAATAAATAAATAAAATCTTTAAAAAAAAAAAAAGTATTTAATACAGGTTTCGGAAGGAATGATTAAGTAGAACACATTTAAGTGTAATTAAGTATAATTCATTTAAGTGTAATTCTCTACAGATCCAAGTAAATTGGCTAAGTGATTCTCCTTAAAGTAGAGGTCCTGAAATGAATGAAGATACAAGACAGGGGTTACTTGTACTAGAACTAACATTTTCTATGATAGAATGTACTTGAAGTTCCACTTTGTACCCGGTTCAGTCTTTTTGTTGTTGTTGTTGTTGTTAAATGAGAAACATTTAGCAGGGGTGGTCAGGGTTACTCTGTGTCTTGTTTTATTTGGGCTGCTGTAACAAAATACTCCAGACTGGGTGGTTTTTAAACAACAGAAATTTATTGCTCACAGCTATGGAGGCTGGAAGCCCAAGATCAGGGTTCTGGCCTGTTCTGGGGAGAGCCCTCTTCTGGATAGCCAACTACTGACTTCCTGTGTCTTGAGGCAGAAGGAGCAAGGGAGCTCTAGGGGGACCTCTTTTTTTTTTTTTTTTTAAATAAAGGCAATAATCCTATTCATGAGGGCTCCACCCTCATGACCTAGGACCTCCCAAACGCCGCACTAACTTTATCACATTAGGCATTAGCATTTCAATATAGGGATTATGGGAGACACAAATATTCAGACCATACATAGCACTTGGTCTTTTAGAACAGCCGGAGCTTCTAAAATAGTGGTGTAGTGTCCTTTCCACCACCCCACTCTCAACACCTCTCAAAACTCTGCCATTAAAAGCAGTACAGAGGGATTCCTGAGTGGCTCAGTTGGTTAAGCGGCTGCCTTTGGCTCAGGTCATGATCCCAGGGACCTGGGATCGAGTCCTACGTCGGGCTCCCTGCTTGGTAGGGAGCCTGCTTCTCCCTCTCCCTCTGCCTGCTGCTTGCCCTGCTGTGCTCTCTCTCTCTCTGACAAATAAATAGATATAATCTTTAAAAAAATAAATAAAAGCAGTACAGAATAGGGGCACCTGGGTGGCTCAGTCGTTAAGCATCTGCCTTTGGCTCAGGTCATGATCCCAGAGTCCTGGGATCGAGCCCCGCATCGGGCTCCCTGCTTGGCGGGAAGCCTGCTTCTCCCTCTCCCACTCCCCCTGCTTGTGTTCCTTCTCTCGCTGTGTCTCTCTCTGGCAAATAAATAAAATGTTTAAAAAAAAAAAAAAGCAGTACAGAATAAAACTAGCAGGCCTCAGCAGGCCCTCCAAAGAATTGTCTCCAAAATGTTGCACATTATGTTGTGAAGCTTGAATTTTATTTATTATTTTTTATTTTTTTAAATATTTATTTATTTGAAAAAGAGCAAGAGCGAGAGAGGGAACACAAGCAGGGGGAGTGGGGGAGGGAGAAGCAGGCTTCCCGCCAAACAGGGAGTCTGATGTGGGGCTCGATCCCAGGACCCTGGGATCACGACCCAAGAGCTGAAGGCAGATGCTTAATGACTCAGCCACCCAGGCGCCCCTGAAGCTTGAACTTTAAAGAGAAATGGTCTATATTGTAGTGTTTGGGTTTCACTGAATGCTAACTTTTAGTGCGGGAGGGATTTTCTTTTTTTTAGTAATTGAGCTATAACTCACAAAAAATTTACCTTTTAGAATTATACAGTGGTTTTCAGTATATTCACAAAGTTATGCAACCATCACCATTTGGTGAATGCTTGTTAATCACTCATCTCTTAAAGGTGACCTCCTCAGAGCCACTGGAGTAGAGAAGATCCAGATTCAAAGTAATAGTTGTTTTGTCCAGCAGGGCCCTTAGACTTTATTTACATTAAACAATACCTGTGGAAACTGAGAGATAAGTTTAGATAGTTAATAGATAAGATTCTTGAGATTTGTTTCTCTTTCTGTAAGACCAAAGGCCTGCAACAACAACTCTGTCAAGGATTTTTCAGACTTCCATGGGACAGTAAGTGAAATAGAGTAAGCAGAGGAAATCGGGGAAAAGTCTTATTCCTGGAGTGTCATTTCTTTTCCTACCTAATTTTCTGTTCTACCTGGTTATTTCCTTTTCTGCCTTGACTTACTCATTATTAGACTGTTAGATTTGGGCTCTTATTTTACAAACTATTAGAATTTTTGATTGGGAGTAAACCCTCTTTGGGGAAGGTTTTATTTAATGTAGTTAGTACATAGCTTTTTGCATTCTTTTGTCCTTTGCTTATTTTTCACCTGCTCTGGAATCGTACTGCATGAAAAGACAGCAGTTAAAATTTATCATGCGAGATTTCGCGCCCGGCGGGAGTTACGCCAGTCACGAGGGACGGACTACACTTGGGTCGGCGGCGAGTTTCCTGCATCATCTGCTTGTAGTCGCGATGAGTTTGCCTCTCAATCCCAAACCTTTCCTGAATGCATTAACAGGAAGGCCAGTAATGGTGAAACTTAAGTGGGGAATGGAGTTCAAAGGGTACCTGGTATCTGTAGATGGCTGTATGAACATGCAGCTTGCAAACACAGAAGAATACATAGGTGGAGCACTGTCTGGACATTTGGGTGAAGTTTTTTTTATTTTTTTATTTTTTTAAAGATTTTATTTATTTGAGAGAGAGAATGAGATAGAGAGAGCATGAGAGGGGGGAGGGTCCGAGGGAGCAGCAGACTCACTGCCGAGCAGGGAGCCCGATGCGGGACTCGATCCCGGGACTCCAGGATCATGACCTGAGCCCAAGGCAGTCGCTTAACCAACTGAGGCACCCAGGCGCCCCTTGGGTGAAGTTTTAATAAGGTGTAATAATGTCCTATATATCAGGAGTGTTGAAGAAGAAGAAGATGATGGGGAAATGAGAGAATAGCATCTTTTGTGGGTAATTTTATATATATATATTTCTAGACAACTTTTTTTTCCCAAAAAATTTATCATGCGAGTTAGGGAAATATAGAGGACAGATTTTAAGCCTTGTTTTGCTTGATTTTGTTCCCTGGGGAGGAAATATCCTTTTTTTTTAAATTAATTTTTTTAGAGAGAGAATGTGGCACACAAGAGGGAGGGGCAGAGGGAGAGAGAATTCCGTGCAGACTCTGGAGCCCGACCCAGGACTCGATTTCACGACCCTGAGATTACAACCTGAGCCGAAACCAAGAGTTGGGTATTTAACCAACTCTGCCACCCAGATGTCCCAGGGAGGAAATGTCTCAAAGTGTTAAAATAGTATTGTCTTGGGGCACCTGGATGGCTCAGTCGTTAAGCATCTGCCTTCGGCTCAGGTCATGATCCCAGGGTCCTGGGATCGAGCCCCGCATCGGGCTCCCTGCTTGGCGGGAAGCCTGCTTCTCCCTCTCCCACTCCCCCTGCTTGTGTTCCCTTTCTCACTGTCTCTCTCTCTCTGTCAAAATAAATAAATACAATCTTTAATAAAAATAAAGTAGTATTGTCTTCCTGGTTGAAAAGAAAGGAATGAAAGAGATTTGATAACGTTTTGGGGTGAATTAGCAGAATTAGAATGAAATGTTTGGAGATGTGAATCTCTGGCTTTGCTTATATATTGCAATTAAAGAACAAATGTTTTCATGCCTTCAGAACACAGGATGCTGTGCTGGGCCCTTGAAGGGATGCCACCAAGATGATTAAGTTGTGATCCTTCAAGGAGCATAGAAAGGGATGGATCAAATACCCATTTTACTCTAATGGGAGACCCAAGGTGGTAAGAGGGACCATACAAAGGGGGTAGAGGGCTTTCAAAGCTGAGAGGAGGAATTGTCCACAGATTTCCTTAAGTAAATCATTTTAGTCCTGTCACCGTAATCCCAAAGCTAAAGATCTGTTTTCTGCTAAGTGTTCTTTGTGAATACCTTGGGTTTTTTTTAAATTGAGATCTAATTTATTTATTTATTTATTTATTTTTTATTTTTTATTTTTAAAGATTTTATTTTTTTCATTTGAGACACAGAGATACAGAGAGAGAGAGAGAGAAAGCATGAGCAGGGAGAGAGGCAGAGGGAGAAGCAGACTCCTCGCTGAGCCAGGAGCCCGATGTGGGGCTCGATCCCAGGACCCCGGGATCATGACCCGAGCTGAAGGCAGACGCCCAACCATCTGAGCCACCCAGGCGCCCGAGATCTAATTTATATACGCGGTTAACCTTTGTGTTTCTCTATTTTATTAAGTTTGCTAGGAATTTGCTGGAGTAGAGCATTGGTTATCTTTATTATTTGTAGTTGACACAATGTTACATGAGTTTCAGGTGTAAGATATAATGGCTCCTCCCACCACAGGTGTAGCTGCTGTCAGTGCGGCGGCGATTACCATACCGCTGCCTGTGCTCCCAGTGCCCTGCTGTGCCTTGGATCCCTGGGAGCATCGACGGCTTTTCTTTCTACATTACTTGTCACTTTCATAGGAGCGGCAGTGAGTTAGTGCAGTTCTGGTGGTGTATCTGTTGGGCATGTTAATTTAGGACTGCGTCATTCTATTCACAGTTCTTAAAAATCTTTGGGAAGCAAGAATTTGGCCACTAGTTGAAGGTTCTTAATTGTTCTGAGATCCTTAGACTCCTTTTTTAGCTGCAATCGTTGATTCATACCAAAGCTGCTTAAAAGTTTTGTCCTTATTTTCAGTGGATTTTAACAAAGCATGGCTGGGCTGTAGATGTGTTTGGTTTTTTTTCATAAGTGGCTTTGTTCTGAGGAAACCTAATTGTTATCATACTCCAAGTTGAACCCGATCCCCAGCATAATTCTACTTTCCAGGTGAGAGAAACGTTTAGTCAGGATTTTCTGAGCATCTTTTATTAGCCTGGCCTGAGAGTGGTGACACCAAATTCCAGACTACATTCTGACTAGGTAATGGTAGGTCACTTCACTTGAAACAAACAAAAAGTGTACACTTGTGATGTCATTGGGGCAATTTCCTGGTTGACCATTTCTGCAGAACTCCAGTGGGTTACCATACTACTAAGCGGTCTGTGTCCATCTCCTTTGGGTGGTTGATTTTGGTTGCGTATACATGTTTTTCTCTTCTTTTTGTACCTTATTGGGGCTGTCCGAAATGGTTTTGGTTGATGTATCTCAAGTATTCCTCAAGTTGTTTTTGACATAGGTGGGATATAAATCATAGATGAATGTTTTAGGGTTGCTTGAAGAATACAGTGGGATTTAACTCTACAGAAAGCCTAATCAAGTTGGTATGTGGCGATGTGTTAGTGATTGAATAAATAGGATTTTGGAATGTGAGGGCTAGAAGTGACCCCAGCAGTAATAACAGTTGCCTCATTTTGGATAAAGAAACTGAAGCCTAGAGATGCTAAGTGAAGGCATAAGGTCACTTGGAGCTTTAATGCCATGGTTGATGCTAGAGTCCACATTTGCCAGGTGCTAGTTCAGTGCTCTCTGCACACATTGCTGTTTAATAATGGTGAAAAGGGTGTGCCTAGAGCTGATACTCAACCAGCGAGGGTCTTCTCACTCGGGAATTTGCCTTTCTTATATTTCATTCTTAAATTTTTAGAATTATTATGGGGCTTTGAACTGCTTGTTGTAATCATAAATTTACTGAGCAGTTACCACCATCATTGCTTAATATGGAATCTTCACAACACTGTCTTGAGGTATAGGTACTGTAAACACATTTTACAAGTAAGAAAATTAAGACTCAGAGAAGCTAAGTAAATTAGCAAAGTGAGGGGCGCCTGGGTGTCTCAGTCATTAAGTGTCTGCCTTCGGTTCAGGTCATGATCCCGGGGTCCTGGGATCGAGCCCCACATCAGGCTCCCTGCTCCGCGGGAAGCCTGCTTCTCCCTCTCCCACTCCCCCTGCTTGTGTTCCCTCTCTCGCTGTGTCTCTCTCTGTCAAATAAATAAACCTTAAAAAAAAAGAATTAGCAAGGTGACATCCATGACTAAACAGAGAAGCTAGGATTAGAATCTAGGTCTGATTTCAAAGCTTATTCCTAGTAATGGTTACTCTGCTAGCCCTTTCCTTGTGATTTGATATTGAACGATCTTTTTGGCCAAGATACTTTTTTCAGAAAAGGAGCCCATGAATGTGTGGGCTATGGCACTGTCTCCATGTTCTCTGTCAGTGGGGGCCGAGGAACATCTTCATAAGGAGGCAGTGCTCTAAAGTAATACTTGGAAATTGCTTCTTCATATGTTTTAGGAAATGATGACGTAAAATCATTAAAACAGACTGTTCACTACTGTCTGTGACATCATTCCTTTTGTTTTTAGAGTGTTAGGTAATTAAAGCAAAACCATGGGCCTTTGTATGTGTTCGGTGGGCTCTTTACTGTTCTCAGGGCTTATGAATTCAAGCCCCATGTTGAGCATGGAACTTACTGAAATGAAATGTTTACTGTTTTCTGGTTTTGTCTGTGGGAGAAAAATACCACAGCATGCAGTTTTGGTGAGACTACGTGGTCACCTGAGTGCTAGAGAAGTTTTAGTTCCTTACTCAGACTATACTTGAACATTTCTTGGATACTGTTTCTTTGAACCCTTGTTAAAGAGTCAGCACACAGGGGCGACTGGATGGCTCAGTAGTTAAGCGTCTGCCTTTGGCTCGGGTCATGGTCCCGGGGTCCTGGGATCCAGCCCCACGTCGGGCTCCCTGCTCAGCGGAGAGCCTGCTTCTCCCTCTCTCTCTGCCTGCGTGTCTATCTACTTGTGCTCTCTCTCTCTGTCAAATAAATAAATCTTTAAAAAAAAAAAAATGCCAGTACATAAAAGGTTGGTTTTACTCTGTTGAGCCCTTATGGCAATGTAGTAAACAAGACTCCTGAGAAAACTGAACCAATAAGACCACAAGGAACTAGCCCTGTGAAAACCAAAAGAAAGCTGAAGGAAATTCAGTAAAATCAGTTGTATGTTTATCCGGTATGGTACATGCGCTCTGCCAGCCTGTGGGGACTACAAGAGTAGAGAAAAAAGTCTCCATATTTCAGAAAACCACCATCGTTCTGGAAGTCTGTGATCTCCTGGGGAACCAGAAACAAAGATCTGTTTGTGTGCCCCTGTAATTGAAGGCAGGGTCCTACCCTAGAGGAGATCTGAGGGAGGGATCATTAGCCTTCAGGTGGTGGGCTGGGCTGGGAGTGTGATAAAAGTGGAAGATCAGGTGTGGCCAGTTTGTACACTTGAGGAGAATGTGAGAGCCGCTAGAGCTGTGCCCTTGTGGCTCTTTAATTGAAATTAAGTAAAACTTAAAATTCCATTCCTCAGTTGAGGTACCACCTTTCAAATGCTTAATAGCCACATGTGGCTTGGGACTGTCCTATCACAGCACAGAGAACACGTCCCTCACTGCAGAAACTTGGACAGAATTTTGTCACACTGCTTCTCACTTCTGTCCAGTGTAACACACAGTGACTTCTGTGACAGCACTGAAATTGTTTTTATTTTTTTCTTTAATGAGCATGCCATTTAGCTAACAGGGCTAAGGAATTTTAGTTTGGGTAGCTATTTTATATATTGCTGTTTAGTGTGTAAAGAGGATTAAAGATCAGTTTTATATCTAAAGCAGTACAAATGCAAATTGGTTATTTATGAAATATACAAATTAAGCACTTTTCAAGAATTGGCCAGACATTTGTGTTGAAAACATGTAGCTTGAATTAAAACATTTCATTAGCTACCACCTGTATGGCCTTGACTAATTTGTGCTATACTGATGAGCTGACAAAGTACGAGTCTCCATGTTGACGTCTTTTGATTCATGATCAGATCTTTCATTTCATTTCATTTCATTTCATTTCATTTCATTTCATTTCATTTCAGTGAGTTCCATGCTAAACATGGGGTTTGAACTCATGAGCCCTTGGAACAGAGAGTCTCATGCTCTGTCAACTGACCCAGCCAGGTGCCCCTCCATGATCAGCTCTTTTAAAAATATTTATATTCTTTTTTCAAAAATTACAGTGAAATCATGGTGCCTGGGTGGCTCAGTTGGTTAAGTGTCTGACTCTTGATTTCCACTCAGGTCACG